TTCAAGATATCACCATTAAATTAAAGTACCGCACCCACCATCAGACTATGAAGTCACCACCATGTTATACAAGAAACAGTTAAAATAATATTATAAACGCAAAGGAGATACCCGTACGTAAGTTATGAAATTACTATCAGACCGTGATATTAGGTTATGAAATTATCACCAGATTATGTAATTAGATTATGAAATTACTAGCAGACTATGAAGCTACCGCTATATTATGAAGCTACCGGCAGATTATGAAGTGATCACTATATTATGAAGCTACCGGCAGACTATAAAGTTACTATTATATTATGAAATTACTGGCAGACTATGAAGTTACCTTCATAATCTAATATAAGTCGCCGGCAACTTCACGATATAATTATATTGTGAAGTTGCTGGCGACTTATATTATATTATTAGGAGAATAGATTTTCAGTTCTTAAACCCTCACAATGATATTGTGTTTATTTAATAATTTAATTAAATAAGACCTTTTTTTAATTATGAACACTTAAATAATTTTTTCTTTATAAATTTAAGAATTTTTAAAGATATATAAATTAAATTTTTTTATTTTATTTATTTATAATATTTTATAGGAATATAGAAAAATTTATAATATTTTGAAATAATTATATTTTAATAACTTATAATTGGTAATGTAAATTAATTATAAATTAATATTTATAATAAATATTAATTTATAATAATTAAAACAATTTTTTTTTTGTTTAGAAGATTAATGTAAGAAGTAAATAAAATTAGTAATTTAATATATACTAAATAATATTCATATTAATGATTAAAGGTCATCTATTGTTTTGATATATGATATTTAAAATTTGATACTAGATTAGATATTAGAGACAAAGCAAAAATGTTTATATTATATTTTTTAGTAAAAGATAGAATTATAATAGATTTGATTATAAAAAAATATAAATCATATAATTATAAAAATTTTAATATTATTATAATAATAAATTAATTTAATTAAATAGTTTACTTTATGATAAAAATTTATATTTTAAATTTTTTTTTTTTTGATATAATAATAATTTAAATAATTTAAATAGTTTAATTTTAATGATGCTTAGCAGAATTTTATATTTAAATATTAAAATTATTGATAATCTAAATTTTAAAAAATTAATATTTAAAAATAAATATATAGGTATTTTGCAGTAAAAAAGGGATTAAGTTACTTATTTTACTAAAAAGAAAAAAAAATCAATTTTCAAAGCAGTTGTTTATTATTTAGCGGAATTAGAAAATACAACTATTAATTATGTTGCATCATTAACGTTAGCTGCATATGAAGTATGATAGGGAAGTTCATTAAACATTAATAAAAATCTAAAATTACAAATAACATCTCAAATGGAAAGTAATAAAACTTTTATTGGATCCTCGATCATTAGCCGAAGGGATTCATTTTAAACAACTTATCAAAAAATGAAATGATTTTCGTTTATGAACAATGAAGAAGATTGTATCTCGACAAGAAATTCTATAAGATCGAGGTAGAGGTGCAAAAGATGCAAGCTCAATAGCTCAAACAAACAGATTCTGATCTTAATTCACGATCAATTCATTCTCATAACTCCTGATATACAATTTCTATAAATCCAAGCAGCCAACGATGTCTAACGTTCTAAACTTAATTAATATTTATATTCCGCTTGAGACAATCACATCCAAGACCTGCTAGAAAACCACAGCACAAAATCTGATAAAGAACAAGAGATTGTACCTCAAGACATAATGCAAGAGGCATTGAATAAATTGATTTTATTATGACCGAGTTATACAATTGACATAATAAAACAATGTTAAAGAAATCACAGACAGATAGCGGTAAAGGAGGTTGGACGTGTGAAATATAAATAAATAAAATTTTGATATAAGATAGTAGCATTTAATTAACGAAAAATTTTAAAAAAGTTTATTTTCTCAAAACCTCACCACATATTCCGTATTTTTTAAAAAAAAAAAATTTCTAGACCAACGGTTTACCTAACTATTTAGTTATTGAAAAAGAAAAAAAATCGGACTGGAACCTTGAAAAAAAGGAGGAAAAAGTCAAGTCGTTACTTTCGCTTATCATCAAACTTGAAAAAAAAAAAAAGTAGTTATATTGAGCTGAAACTAACCATACATATAAACAAGTCCTATAAAAAAATCTTTAATTATGTTAATTATGTTTGTTTTAATTACTACGGTATTTACCACTATATAGGATGAAACTTTTCATTAAAATAATACGATCGGAACTGCATCATAGTAAATTACATACCATGTGACATGTCCAGTGAAATGGTAGCTAGTTTATTTTTATGTTTTTGGCTATCCAATTTTTTACAAAAATACTTGCTTTCATAAATCTTTTCGTAGCGTATTTCTTGAATAATTGCTCATATTTGATAGGTTTTATCAAGTATTGAAGGATTAAATTCTCGCAATTTCGAAGTTCATCCTCAGTATACATCGAATAATGAATCAGATTTGCATGCTAGGAGGAAAATAATATAATTAGTATTTGGTCAGAGTTATGTTAATATCTTGATAACAATTTAACATACCCATTCAGTACGGTTAAGCATCTTTCTAGCGAGATATAAAGAAACCGCAGCAATCATTGAAGGTGGTGATGACAGAAACTTATAATCAACGAGTGAAATTTCCATAAGATATTTTGCAACGGTACGAGCTTGAATGTCAAAATCGTCAGCTTTGGAGGCTCTTCGAAGAAAGTTCATGGGATTCGGATAGCATAATTTGAAATCAATAATTGTAAGAACATATCGTTCTGCTTTGAGGATTTCTGCTTCTGTATATCCGTTATCAGCCATATAAATGAAATTTTTGACCGATGGAGCCAAAACTTCCTCATATTTTGCCGCAATAAACAACCCAGTAATTCCAACTAATTGGAGTTTGACCAGTGAAACAACACGGACTGAAAGGAATCGATCAATGATATTGACCGCTAAAAACAAGGTTTCGGGAAGTAGACGAAACTTATGATGAACCTCGATCAACCAATCGACGAGGATTCCTCGCATTCTCCAAGTTAACTCGGTTTGAGATAACATATAATCAGGTTTAGGCATCGTTTCGATCTATATATATATATAAATGAATCATGATGATAATCGAGTTATCATCGATCCTTTTGTAAGAATTACAAAAAAAAATTTTGGAATTTACCTCTAATTCCTTTAGATATTTAAAAATATCTACCGCATATTCAGAAACCGTCATAGGATCGTAGAGATCATCAGCGTCCAAATCTTCCCATTCTTGAATCCTTTGTTTCTTGGAACGTTTTCGATCTAATTCAGATATATTATTAAACTCTACAGGTGGAAAGATTAAATTTGAATTCTCGTTTTTTATTATGGGCTTTATGTTATCATGTGCTTTCTCGGTGACAGTAGTTGGTTTAAATGAGAAATTCGTACGATCCATGAGCAGAGCGCGTTTTCTTGTTACCATGCTCACCGCTGGTTTTACTTGTTGTGATGGTACTATATTTTCATTTCCCATCGCTAGTTTTGCTTGTGGTGGCATGATATTTACATTTCCCATCAATGGCATTACTTGCGGTTTTGTGATATTTTCATTTCCCATCGCTGTTCTTACTTGCGGTGGCATGATATTTACATTTCCCATCGATGGTTTTACTTTCGGTTGTATAATATTTTCATTTCTATACGAAGGTTTTCCTTGCTGTTGCATGATATTTTCATTTCCCATCAAAGGTTTTATTGGTGGTTGTATGATATTCTCATTTCTCCCCGATGGTTTTATTTGTGTTGACACATTGTTGACATTGTTGACATCGCTGACATTACTGACATTACTGACATCATCCAGTGCGGTTCTTTTACGCGCTTGTGCAACTTTATGTGGAATCGCGGTGGTATTACTTGGAGCTCTCACTGGAGCAATTTTGCGTGGGTGCACCTAATAACATTTTTTAAAGTAATTATAGTAGTCGTTCGTCCTTTGTATTATGAATTATGAACTTTTATCAATAATTAAAGTTATGAGTTATTTATACCTGTTTCTTCTTGTTTGCGTTTGGCAACATTTTTTTTTTTTTTTTTTGAACTTCAAAAGTGAAGAGATGCAACAACTAACTGGATAAAAAGTAATAAGTTTTATTTGAGGTTCTTTTAAACTATATTACAACATCCAATAGTTTATCAGTTGAATGTTTTTTTTTTTTTTTTCACTTCTTTGTAAAAGCTTTTTCTAGACAAAAAAAAAAAAAAAAAAAAAAGTAAAAGCTTTTTCTAGATAACGGGTGACGTAGTAATAACTCCGAAACGCGAAAAATCAACAATGAATTGACCAATCACCGCAAAACAGTCTAATAGTGGACATTATGACATTTTACACATCATGCACTATGTTGATTATTATGGAAAATCGAAGTTACTTTGTATTTATTGTAATTAAATAATCAAATAATCGGAAATTTTTTTTTTTAATATAAAATATTATTAGGTGTTTATTAGTAAATATAAGCAACATTATATACAAATATTTAAATTAATTATTAAAATAAATCTTTCATGATTTACTTGATTTGCTACTCTCTTCTTATCTTATCCCAACTACATCAATCCAAATTTAATATATAATATTTTTTTTTTCTTTACAAAAAGCGAACAATGCTTTAAACAATAGAAAGTTATATATATATATATTTGAAAAAATAAATCTATATGAAATATGTGCAAGATCTAATTATAACTGGCTTTACAATGAAAATGGCCCAGATGCCAAAGTGTAGGAAGGAATATTGAATTAATTATGAAAGCAAAGAAAAAAATTATTATTCAATAGCCAAGCTACAAAGAAGCAAAAGGAGAAATTAAAGATATTACAAAACAAATAGATTACAAAAAAAAAAGTTTATGATGTAAAATAATCAGATTTTTTTTTTTTTTTAAAAAAAAATAATTTTGAATAAAAAAAAGATTATTTCCGAAAAAAAAAAAAAAAATTAAAATAAAAAATAATTCAAACATGATTAAAAAGCAAATATACAACCCAATATAAAAGGAACGGGTAAAACTTAAAAAATGAGTTTAGTTCGTAGTAACTACGTTATCTGAAAGGTTATAAAGAAGTTGAGCCAAATAACGCTTGGTGACCATGTCATCCTTCAGGACCTGCGAAAACGTAGCATCCCTTAGTGGTTCTGGCAAACATTGTCGAAGAGCTTCCCGCGCTCTATTAAAAAAAAACGAAAATGTTACATTCTTGTTCATCAAAATAATTTTTGTCACTTCGGAAAATATCAAACCTAGGATTATCAGAGAGGCGAAGGTAGCACCTAACAACGTGCTTTAACAAACGAACAGCCTGTGTATCAACAAGTTGAATAACCATATTGCTCAAAACAGTACCTACAGCGTAAAAACGCTCATAGGTAGCACAGATATATTCCAAACCCATTTCATCCAACAAGATCTTTTGTACAATAAAGATAGCCACCTAAGAAAATGATTAATTAAATGCGATTTAAAGTTTAAAAAAAAATTTTTTTTTTTTTAAAAATCAAATCAAATCAAATCTTACAGTTTTTGATAGTTCGCTTCCAGTTTCCATTATACGCAAACATAGAGGTATAATTTCAGTTGACAACAAAAATGAGATGACTTCGGGATTATCATTCTACAACGAAACGATCAAAACAAACATTAAAAATGATCTTTGTATAAACTGATATAATTTTTTATGTACGAACCTTTACAAGAGCACCGATAACACCTAGGCTTGTTAATCTAAGATATTCAAAGGGTCTAGTCTTGCTCGTTGTATTAAGGAATGGGTACAAAAACAAAGGAATGTGAGCTAAACGAAATTTTATCGAATATTAGTCAAATATTTTCTAATATTAAAAGGATTAACATAAAGAATGTAAGCACAAATCTTAACAAACCGTTTAAAAATAATCCTCGAGTTTCACTATGACTTGCCACACATTGCAATAGTGCCAAAGCATTGCAAACACGATTGGATATCTGGCCTGTAAGTTGAGGTGGTACAAGAAGCGGATAAACTGACACTATTTCCTGTAATAATGCTGCCATCACCCCTATTTTAAATAAAAAGAATATTAAGAATATTAGATAAACGTTAATTATTAACGAACGAATTTCATGAGAGAGTAATAAACCATACCAAAGGAATGCCATAATATCAACGCCAAATCATCATATTGTTCCCGCTTTTTACTCAACTCCACAAGAGCCTGTTCCCTGTTAGCAGGATTTGTTAACTCGGTAATTAAAAAATAAATTTTTTCTTCCTCTAATTTATGTTGGTGTTGCATCGGTAGAGACAACTGAGTTCCTATACCAGTTCCCCAGGGATCACCACCCATAGGCAAACCATGAAGATTTGATGCAGAACCATGAAGCTGCGAGTTTAAGTTATTAGCACCTCCAACGTTCAAAGGATTTGGTGTAGCTATAGCCGATGCTGTGGCTTGTTGCAGTTGAAGAAACTGTTGAATTTGGGGATTGGAGTGATGTGGAACGAGAGAATGCATATTTGTTTTTACTGTTTTGTATAATAGAGGAGAATTTTTTTTTTTGTTTGCCAGAAGTTTTTGTTACTATTCTATCAATATAATAAAATATTAACCTCTTAAAAATAGCTGTGCTTTTTTTTTTTTTTTTTTTTAAGAGGATAAACTTTTTAATGAGCAGTATACCTATGCTAAAAAAAAAAGCAAGCGAGCTGTTTTTTTTTTTTTTTTCCTTGGTTTCTATATATATATTTATTATATATCTATTGAACTTCTAATTATTGAGGTGCTAACTCCAAAAGGTGTTTGTTTGCTTTGCAAGAGTGAATTGAACTTGCAAAGATTTGTTATTATCAACGTTTAATAAGGGAGGAGGATCCTTAAACAGGTTGAATTTGTTTTGGTCGAGAATTAAATTGTATTGATTGTATTGAATCAGGAAATCACATGATTACAAATAATAAAAGGTCCAAAGATTGTATTTCTGGTTTAATATTTAATGGGGTTTAAACCAGGGTTGGTATAGTCACTCAACATTATTAAACCACATGACTACGATAATCTTAATTTTATTTTTCATTTTCCGTAGAATGATTTACTTCAAACTTATCAGTTATAATATAAATCTACAAGATTTTCGACTTCACAAGCCTAAATTGCGATATGAGTAGTCAATTCGGGGCCGCGCCAATTAAACTCTCGGAGTATCCACGCCGACCTGAAATTGGACGAATTGGTCGCCAGATTCGTGTTAAGGCAAACTTTTTTGAAGTTTTACGACTGCCAGGTATGTTTCATACTTATATTACTATTATATTACCATTATGTCTTCGTAATGTACAAAATGCTTTAACTTTAGATGCGAATGTGTACCATTACGATGCTGATATATCCCCTACCGTGCCCTCTTCCCTAAACCGTAGGATATTCGAACATTTTGTAAAATCTGAATCTGGAGGCATACTCGGGGGAATTAAACCAGTATATGATGGTATTTATCTATTTTCCATCGAATATTCTCTTTTCATCTTAATTGATAAAATTCTTATTAAAGGTCGTAAAAATCTATATACTATAAAACAATTTCCGTTTGGTGACGCTATTACTCATCAGGTAATTGTTGTAATTAATGCTATGCAAGACAAGTAAGTAAAATATGGCTTATAAATTAATTCATTTTTTATATTAGATTACGTTGCCCGAAAACCTTGCTGCTTCGAATTCAAAAAAGCCTCCACGTACCTTTACTATCAAATTGAAAAAAGTGGCCGAAAAAAATCTCGAAGAAGCAATTCGTTTTGTTCAAGGAAAATGTGCCACCTCAAGCAATATAATGTCCGGTAATTGAATATTAAAATATTATAACATTACGCAATATTTTTTATCTTTTCTAAAGTGTCTTAGTATATTTTAGCAATCGGAGCACTTGATGTTTTAATAAATCAGGAACCCTCAATGAAATTTACCACTGTTGGTCGTCGTGCTTTTTACACACCTGAAAATTCTAGTACTTTATCTGGTGGTGCTGAAGTATGGCAGGGTTATTGGCAATCATTGCGACCAGGTCAAGGTAAATTAAATTGATGCATGATATCTTTGTTTGATTACTGAATTAATTTCTTTTTCCCCAAAGGCAAATTTTTTATCAACTTTGACACGAGTGCAACAGCATTTTATGAAGCAGGTTTGACCAAATTAACTTATACTTATTCTTTGCCGTATTAAATATAATAATAAAAATCTTTTGTCACACTCTAGGAAACGTTGCTACCTTAATTGCTAAAATTCTTGGTTGCAAACTTGAGGAGCTTCGGACGGGTTTTACTTTAAATCAACGTCTTAAAGTTGAAAAGACACTCAAACACTTAAAGTTCCGGGTTACCCATCGAGGTGTTAATTTTCAACGTCGATTTAAAATTAAAAAATTATCGGAGAATTCGACACAAGAAACACACTTTTCTAAAGGCATGATATTAAAATGAGTGGAGACCTTTTTTTTTTAAAAAAAAACAAATAAAAAAAAAAAAAAAAACAAATGAATTTACAAATGAATTTTCTTAAATATCAAGGAGAGGGAGAAGAAAAGATTTGCGTTGTAAAATACTTTCAGCAACAATATAATCTTAAATTACGATATCCTTTTTTACCGTGTATTATGACTCCAAGTGGAACATATTTCCCTCCTGAAGTATGTGATTTGGAAACGGTAAGATAAAGAAGGTTTCACTTTTCATATAATTCTTCTTGTTCATTTAATTTAAATAAAATTTCCCTGGCCTTAATCAATTATGTAGGGTCAAAGAGTAACAAGAAAACTTTCTGAAAGACAAACTGCTGAAATGATAAAATTTACGTGTCAAGGTAAGTTGACAAGAATTTTGTAATAAGACGATTTGATTTTATTAATTATAATTTTGTTATAGCTCCTGCTATACGTTCGGAAAAAATTCAACACGGCATGAGCTTATTAGAGTATGATCAAAACGAACACTGCAGGCAATGGGGTCTTAAGGTGTCTCCAAAAATGGCTGTTGTCGATGCCCGCGTACTTCCCGCTCCTAGGTTGGCTTATCATCCTGTATGTCGGCAATATTTTATATAATATACTAATTAAATTATGCCACTGATAATAAATCTTTACTTGTTTAGTCTGGAAAGGAATCAAATTTTGCTCCTCAATTAGGTACCTGGCAACTTGGTCCGGGCAAAAAAGTGTGTCATTTTGCCATTTAAGTTATATATTTCTAATTTATTCGTTTATTAATGTATTATATTTCTTAGATGTTAAACGGAGCTACATTGAAATCATGGTCTATAATAGTTTTTGCGAATCCTCATCATATTAAAAAAGAAATAGTTGATGGATTTATTCGTGAATTGATAAAGACCTTGGGAGAAAATGGTACTTTAATAATAATATTAATAATAAGTTGATATTAATCACATTACTAATTTCAAAATTGATTTTATCCTTGTTATAGGGATGAACATAGTAAACCCTAAACCTCCAATTTTGCATGCAAATCCTCAAGGAAACATTGAAAATACAATACGTCAAGCCTATACAGCTGCTGGGAATGCTGCACAATTTAAACCTCAATTAATTTTATGTGTTCTTCAGGGTCGTTCTACATTGTATGACGAAATTAAAAGGATTGAAGATACAGTTTTGGGAGTTCCCACACAGGTAATGACGATTTTCTCTCTTTTTTTTTTCCTTGAGAGATGTGTATAGTTTTTTTTATTATTTATTATATTATATTCTGTAGTGCATAATGTCAAATAAACTATTTAAAGCAAACAAACAATATTGTGGAATGCTTGGTTTAAAAATCAATGTTAAACTACAAGGAAATAACGTGTCATTACAACGAGAATATCTACCATTTTTTCTTGAAGCTCCGGTATTTAAAAGAACGATCGAATGCTGATGATTTACCTGTCGGATAAATCAATTTAACTTAATTTCATTTGTAGACTATTGTCTTTGGTGCGGATGTTACACATCCTGGTTTTGGTAAGTTTAGAGGAAATAAATACCTAATTTATAAAAATTATATAATCGTTCATTAAAACATTTTAGGTGATAATAATCCAAGTATTGCTGCCGTTGTTGCATCGTTTGATGCCCTTGCGACAAGATACGCCACATCAATAAGGTTTCAAGGTCCTCGTGTTGAGATTATTTCCTCACTTAAAGAGATGGTACAAGAACTTTTGAAAGTTTTCTATAAAGAAACTCGTAAGAAACCAGAACGAATTTTATTTTATCGAGACGGAGTCAGCGAAGGACAGTTTGAAGAAGTTTTGACTTTTGAAATTGATGCTATACGAAAGGCATGCACTACATTAGAAGCAACATATAGACCCAAAATTACATTTGTCGTTGTTCAAAAGAGACATCATACCAGGTAATTTTCGTAACGTTCTTTATTAGCGTGAAATTATAAAATTATATTATATCTGTTTTATTTCTAGATTCTTCCCTACAGACAATAACACAGACAAGTCAAAGAATTGCCTTCCAGGTAAGAAAGAACAACTGCGTACTTTATTTTTATTATTTATTAAAAAAAAGAAATCATTTTGTGTTGTTAAATGTCAACAGGGACCGTCGTGGAAAAGGAAATAACTCATCCATTTGAATTTGATTTTTGTAAGTTAATCTGTTATTATAATTTCTATGTATGTATATTATAAAGATACAATACTTCTATGTTAATTATAGATTTACAGTCTCATCCTGGCTTACAAGGAACTTCTCGCCCAACGCATTATCATGTTTTGATTGATGGTAACAAATTTTTTTCCGTTTACTTTCATTCCATCATTTTACGCAATATTAAAAAGTATATACTGATTTTAATATGTACAGAAAACAAATTTAAGTCGGATCCCTTACAGAGCTTGACATATAATCTTTGTTATTCATATGCAAGATGTCCAAGAGCCGTTTCAGTAGTACCTCCAGCATATTATGCACATTTAGCTGCATTTCGTGCCAGGCATGTTTTTTTTTTATATTGATTTAAATAAAATTTGTTTCTAAAGTGTCTTACCAAGTATTTCTTTTTGTTAATAGATGTTGGAGGAAAGTACCAATATTCTCTTCCGAAGGTGGAGGTGAGGATGTTGAAGACTATACCAATTTAAAGCCAGAATTACAAAAAGTGATGTTTTTTATTTAAGCTTTAACATGAATTAGTGTTCTTTGTTAATGTTATATGAAATATTTTTAAATAATAAAAAAAATCAAATAAAGTAAAATTATCAAAATTTTTTTTTTTTTTTGGGGGTGATCTACGATTATTTGTGTTATAATATTTAAATATAAATTACAATCTTGACATATAAAATAATTAGAATCTTTTATTTGACTGATTCTTATACATCCTATAGACAAGGACCAAGACACCAAGAAAAGCAGAAGTTGCAATAAATTTTAGTAAGAAGAAGAAACCAAACCAACTTGATGATGAAGACGAATCTTGATGACGTAATGACGGTTTAAAAGATCTTGGTGGGATGGAGACGATGTTATTTGTTGTAACGCCAATTATATCATGGGCATCACTAACTTCGCCCGTTAAAGCAGTGAAACCAAGGTAAGAAACCGTTGGAATGGTAATATTTGGAATGGTAAAACATGGTTCCCATTGATCCCATGCTTTATATTGTAACTTGACCTCAAGATAATTATTTTTGTAATAAGTTATTCGTGCTTTGGTTGCGATCGGCTGGTCTCTGATTTCAGCCTCACATCCTGCGACTTCATTGCGTCTACCATCATTATTGAGATCATATTCAGTATTACCATCGCCAATCATTGCCATCACGTAAGGGAACGTATGCTAATTTCAAAAGTAATATGACCTTAATAAGAATATTAAATGAAAAATTATAAATCACGTCTTTTAACTAATGACTTACGGATTGTCTGACGTTAGGGTATGTGTCAAAGAAGATACCAAGACCTTCGAATTTATCAATAAACCCAAAAACGGGTCCAGCCTTTGCACGTTCAGATGCAAGCCATATTGCCATTCCGTCACCATGAAGAGTTGGGTTTTTTCCGCTGATCTTAAATTCGACTTCTACTTGCCAATTGGTGGCGGTTAAGGGCTAACCATCAGGTTGAAAGTCATGAATCGAACAAATAAAATTAAACTAACAAATTAACTCGAAAATAATGAGAATTTATAAATTCCTACCAGACGACTCCATAACCAGCCACTTTGAGCTGGTCGATCATGGGTCAGTCTAATATGCTTGGCAGTATTGATCACTGTATCACCACCAAAATCGAACCATCGGTTCTGAAGGTCCATATCTAAAAAAAAGTTCGCGTTGTTATCATGACGATAAGTCATTATATTTAATACATTTACTGTAACTCACCAATATAAGGCATGTAAATGGAATGTGTTCGAAGTGGAATTACACTTTCAGACTGATTGCCTTCAGTATCTATGTCCGCACGCGCAAGAACGAAACAAATAGCAAGCCCCAATAGGGCAAAGCATTTGAATAAAGCCTTCATCGCGTTTTACACAGAGAAAAAAAAAAAAAAAATGAAAAAACCGTTTTTTTTAAATTTTTTTTGTTAAAGATATTCAGATTAATGTGTCAATTATCTATTCGTTGATGTTCGTGTAACATCGATGGCCAAATCTCAATATATATAACATACGGTAAATATTAAAAGACTATTTTTGACTCGACAAAATGTCCAGCGAACAACAATTTCGCGAGTCTTTACGCTCTTTCCGCTGGGCCTCAAATTCTAATAATAATAATATTAACCTTAACTCTAACAATAACAAATCATCTCCCTTTTCTCGATTAACTGAGAATACTTCAAATTTTTTTGGCAATGTTGGTAATAGAGTACAAGGATATATACCGCTATCAAATAACAACGTAGAAGAAGAAGAAGAAGAATGGTTTACATTAACCAGATGGCAGGTAGTAATGGTCCTTTTTAGTATAATTTTTTTTTGATTTCGCTCTTTTAATTTTACTGACCAGATCCTAATTCTAGAGATTTGTAGGTTTTGGGTTTTGTCTAGCCGCTGGAGTTCTATGCTTTTTAATTGTAAGCAATCAAATCATTCAAGTTATTTGTAACCTTTTAAGTAAATAATCATCTTTTCTTTTGATCTTTTGCAGGCTTTCCTCACTTTGCCAATTTTGGCGTTAAAACCAAGAAAATTCGCTGTTCTTTACACTGTGGGTAGTTTATTAATAATATCAAGGTATAATTTTTGAAACTATTATTTTTCTTTAAATATTATACCCTATAGTATTCATTTAAATATTTGCTATCGTAGCTTTGCTTTATTACATGGACCAATGACACATCTTAAACATATTTTATCCCGTGAGCGTCTTCCTTTCACCGTTGCTTACTTAGGATCATTAATAGCAACATTATATTTTGTGATCGTAGTAAGTAATTTCTTTCATCAAGAATTGCTGATACTTCTTTTTTACTTTATACTCATTTAAAATTTTCTTTTCTTTATAAAAGCTAAAAAGCACGCTACTCACTCTGATATTTACTATTATACAAGTTATAGCACTCATATGGTAAGTCGATCGTAATCTTTATTATCATCTATTATATCTATTATTTTATTTTAATATCAATGTTTGTTTATTCATTATATATAGGTATGTCGTTTCATATTTACCAGGAGGAACCAGTACATTACAAATGGGATCGCGCATGATTGCACGTCAAGCTTCAGGAATATTACCCATCTGATAAAATTAGTAGTTATTTATTATTATTGCAACTTGTAATAACATAAACACAAATATTTTTAAAAGTGCTGGAAGGATTATTTTGATATCATTTTCATATTTGTAAAAAATTTTAAAAACATATAAATAATAAGAATTTTATTATATAATGATGTATTATTAACAATAAAGTGTAATTAAATTTAGACAATAATTATGTTTAATATCAATATTAACATATAAAATATTTTTAATATAAATAAAATAATATTGCATTATATTAAATTCGACGATCTTTATTGTATAAACATTATAAATATTATATTAAAACATAATATTACTTAAATAGATGATTTTTTCTTATAATTAATAATAATTTAACATAATAAGTTTATATATATTTTAAATATTATATAATTCTTTTTTAAAATAGGTATAATTCATCTGATAATTACAGTCAACTCTTTCTACAACGAATTTTGATATAACGAATTTTACAATACAACGGATTTTCAGTGTCGGACAG